GTTGGGGGTGGGAGGGGAACAAATCGTAAAAATCCGAAAGGGTATACGAGAAAAATTTTTTTATGTCATTAGGGGCGATAAACCGCGATTCTAACCTGGCTTTGTTCGGTTTGATCGCGGTTTTCGGGCCCAATGACATAAAATATCGTATGTCACACGGCGATAAAAGCATTATCTGGCGAATGCGACTTTATAATCCGAGTCGAAGGCGAATACTTTTATCGCCTGATGACATAATATACTATTAATAATTTTTCCAAGTGTGCGGATTGTGGCTCGTTTATGATGCTTAACACATGAATTTTTATGGAAAATTTTTCTCCGTGTACTAGTATGAACAACTCGATAGTTTCTTTTTTGCTATATATCGAATTTTATAGTTCAGTAAACAGAGTTTCTCACTACCAGCACTGGAATTTCTCTCATCATCGTACGTTTTTTCAAGCATCGGCGTTGGGCAACGTTTACCAATGTGCTGTAATGAGTAATGAGTCATATCGGATTCTCACAGATTATTGTTTCTTTCTGCAACTTACCAAAGTAATTGTTCTGATCGTCTTCATCCGCATGGTAGTGACCGACAGATATGTGCATACGTCCGCCGACGATGGTGGCTTGGGCGTTGCACTGCATTTGCAGGGCTTGTTGGCAAACCAGATAACTGGAAATTTAAAAAACATGGGATCAATCACAGACAATTAACAACGAGCCTATTTACAGTGAGCACTTGCGTTGGACTTGATATGAAGTTAGATTATGTTTGTTAATTTTTTTTATACGAGAAAGATCCCTGGTGGCACGGTTTTTACCGACAATCGTAGGTCCAACTGTTGCGGTTTCACCGACGAGTTACTCAATCTCTAGTCGAGCTCAAGTGCTCGGTGTAAATAGGGTCAATTGGATAAATATTTAGCCACACAACTTACGTTATGCCGTTGGAACGATAATTCAGTACGAAAGGCATTTCCGTATGTGAAGGCGGTTATCAGAGCTTGACAATTCCACAGTGAATAGCAGTGCAGTCGCTCGAAAATAACGGCCCAAGCAGCACAGTTCTGGAGGGTATCTGCAAGTATACCAAAAAGGCTGTCTAATGTCTGTCCAAAAAGGTAACTTGTGTCTAGAAGTTACCTAGAAGTTAACTAAAAGTTATCGTATGACTGCAAGATACCTATTGGACGGACATTAGTCTGCCTTTTTGGTATACTTTCAGATATCTTTTGCAAGGTTTGCTACTTGGGGGTTGGCGATGGTTGGTGGAGGGAGAACCAATGAAACGCGTCTATCTCAATTGGTCTATTTCCGCATCAATTAGAAAGTTCTATGTTTCTATAAACCTATATTATTGGGGCAGATGATGAAGCAGTTTCGTGCTTAGTTGTCAAAAGCCATTTTCATGAGCCAATTTTAAAATGTTTCTTAACGGTTTTATATCGAGATTCAAATTCAGAACTGCAAAGTTTTAATAATAGAATCGTTGTAAAATGTCTGGAAACGGGGTCAAATGGGGCTCAAATGAAAGACCTGATGCTTGGCTACAAAATTAGAAAAGCTTTCACTGGGGAAAAAATAGCCAAATTTACCTGGGTTAATTAATATTTGAAATATTTATGATTTTTGGTTATTTTGAAGCAATCAAAGGTGACGAATGGAAGAAAATAAATGTTAACATTTATTTGTCGTCCTTGATTACTTTAACATAAAGAATAATCATGTAGATTTTATCGCATTAATGAACATTATGAAATTATCAAAAAGGAAATAAATGTTTTTTTACTAGTTCAATTCCGAAAAATTAATGAAAAATTGGAAATTTGCAAATAAATCAAAATTATTACGATTATTGCTATCGTTATTATTCATCTTCGAACTCGGTCAAAAGTACATGCAAACAAATTTTTGAAGCCATCATTCAATCAATTCACTTTTTTTTTTATTACCGTGAAAAAATCAATTTTTGAAACAATTAACTAATTTCGAAAATTAATAAATGAATTTAACTTTAATTAAGGACGATTGATAGGGCTCAACAATACCTACATTTCAGGGGATTAAAAAATATTCAATTCAATCGATTCATTAGCGAACTATCGAAAAAAAAATTATTTTCATACGTACGCACACACATACATACGTACGGATACGACCTAAAAATTGCATTTGTTGACATTTTGGATCACAATGGGTCGATATAACGATCCAAAACTTAAATTTGAACGATTTCAATGTTTCCATTTGGATACAAAAATGAAACATTCAACAGTCACGAAAGAAGACAGACACACCATCACAACCCCCAAGACTAAACAACGACAATCATGAGAGCAACAGTAATCACAGTGCCTTCAGGAAAACTATCACATTATTCCAACTGTTCCAACGACATTCAACATAACTAAACTCCGATAACACGAATACCCTAACTCCTAACACGACAGCATCGATGACCTCCACTAACAACAGTAATAACCACACGACTAACAACAACGTCACCAAGAGGCCTGCCAGAAGAAAGTAGACCCTCGAACAATCCAGTCTCCAATCGAGAAACAATGAAACAGATGAATGTGGACCTGGTAAGAGAAAAGGTAAACGTAGATGAAGCATAAACGATGACGACGAGAATCACAAGTTGGGAGACAAAACAATGGTGCCACTGAGCCATTTTCACTAGTATCTAATATTTAGAAATAATTACGACTACGAGCTCACAACGAATTTTCTCATCACTATCATTAAGTCCACATATTCATTGATACATATATATAATTATGTATAATATAAATATATGTTTTCTGTCTATACGATAAATGCTATTTACATTGTGGTTCTATAGATTAGTTTTTATACAAGATTTTATGACACGCCGTGCAATAAGTCGAGTTTATCGCACGCTGCGCTTCGCACAGCGTGCTTCAAACTCGGCTTCTGCACGATGTGGCATAAAATAGTATAGACCACTCAGGCATAAACTTCGTTTTCAACGAATGTGAATACAGACCTCGCCTTCGGCTCGGAAAGGAAATAAGGACAAATCCTATTTACTCGGTCTGTATACCTGAAAGTCTGGATGGATTGTAGGTTTTAGTTCTATTAGACATTGCATTTCAGCCAAATAAAAAATTATCATTGGTGATTCTGGACCATTAAAACATTCGAATTCCAGTCTCGAGACCATTTTTGCACTTTTATTGGTTGAATTCATCTCGATGGAAACTCTGATGTGTAATCACTCATAATAATGTCATGCGAAATTTTATACAAATCAGTTGACAATAACGCTTTCAATGACTATTTCATGAACTAAAAAGAAAACGAAAGGTTGAAAAAATGTTTTCAGAAATTCTCATCGCCCGAGGCTTCGTTTGTTTACAAATTGATCAATCTGCTGACTTTTTAATCACTACGCAGGTCAAAATAAAAGCCAAAGGAAAATAAACCAAAATCAGTTGAATCCAGAGAAAAAAGTAGCAGATGCATCAAAAAGCTGCCAAATTAACCCACAAAAAATCAGAAATAAAAATCATTGAATAACGAAAGAAATAAATTTTTGATTTCTCCACTGTTTTCATTACCCCTCATTTTTTTTTTAAATTAAATCGAAAAAGGCCACTGTTCAAGGCCACGGGCCAAGAAAGTCAATTAAATCTAGTCAACGAAGAGCCCTCAAAGATTCACAATTTTCTCTCAAAAATGTTAAATTCTCTTGCATTCTTTCAGAACAATTATTACACACTCGAGTTTGATCGTTTCTTGGAATTTCATGTCCCCAATAAATTCCTCCCTCATTCTAAAATTTTCAATAACAAATGAAAATGTACAAATCTTTACTTGTAATACCACAAGAGCTTCAAAATTTTCGGGTATTTTCCAATAGGTTCGTTTGTATGCAGGGAACCTTGAGGAAAATGCCCGATTAATTTTGAAGCTCGGGTGGTATTCGGGGGATTATTTTTCCAATCCAAATGTTGGGCAATATAGTTGGACCATGCGACGAAACTCACAATTGAGAAACGAAAATTGTATAATTAACCCTCATTTCGACTAAAAATCCTCCGATTACTACAATTGAATTCAATCCGTCAGTTTGACGAGGGGTTAATTCGACTGCATAATGTTTTGTCTTTTATATAGCAACTACCAGAGAAAATTATCAAAAAATTATCAGTTGAAAACCCTGTAGCTTGTACCACGTGATGTCGAATGAGCCAATTATATTGCCCGATATTTGGGTTGGAAAAATAATCACTGTACATTTACACGAAATTGATAAATGTCCATTGTCTAAACGCTATTCGTGGGGGCTTATTCTCTGGGTTTTTGCTCATCATCTGAAGAGATTTGAAATTTATTTCACGTGACCCTGCGTAGGTTACATCTTGGGATATACTGATAGGTATCGAGTAGCCGGCCCTTTGTCAGTGCACAGGGATAATGTGTGACAGCTTCGCAGCCACGTTTAACACGACCAATATTGGCCCCACTCAAACCACAGGCATTGCAAATGAACTTTGTGGCATCCCAGACAGCTTCCTGAAGTCCAGTGACCCTTCCACCTTGAAATCAAAAATTTTAAATCAAATGATTGAAATCGATCATCATTCGAGATCATTTTATTGATTTATTACGCGTGAAGCTGCAGAAATTTTGATAGAATTGGTAAAAAAATAATTTTTTATAATAAAAAGGAAATGGCCAAAATGTGTCACGCGATTACTTTTTCGAAAGTTTTTCGCGGTTTCGCAATTACGAATTGTCAAAGCATCAGAATACGTAACTCCTGATGTTGCGGACGTGTTTGTTATCTCTCGTCTCTCTATAATAAAAAGGAGTTGGCCAAAATGTGTCACAAATTCAATTTCTTCTCTGTTCTCTATAAAAAAAAAAAGAAACCAATGAGAATATTTCTGTTACATTCCAGAACCTGAATCCCTTAACCATATCCTCACACCTGCCCTGGCTTTGATTCCCTGCGTCTTAAGGATGAACTACACCCTTTGTCGTCGGCGAATTTTTCCCTTGGAACTTGTTTCCCCTCACTAATTTTTTCCATGTAGAATTTTCCCCCGAGTTTTTTTCCGCCGTTGAAAAATTACCGGAAATTTTTTCCCCGTCAATCCTTTCTCGGCGAATTGTTCTCATTGACATTAATTTTTCCGACGATTTTTTTTTCATTTAGGATTTTGTTTCGAGTTTTTTTTTCAGAAAATCCTAATTGAAATCATTTTTTTTCTTAGAAGGAGGAAGTGACAAAATTATTGAAAAAAAATCTTTTTTTTTTCATTCGCGACTGTTTAATTTATAACTTTCTTCAAAATGCGGCGAATTTTTTTTGCTGTAGATGTTTTGTTTGACGAGTTGATTTATATTCGTATGAAAATGACGTTTATATGTTGCTGATTATATTGTAAATTAATAATTTTAGCTTGTTGAAATATTTGTAATTTTGTCGGGCTGTAAATGTTCTATTTGAATAATTGAATCCTATTTTGATGAAAATGTGTGTAAATTATTCATGATGTTCAGAAATGGTTGACTTCTAGAAAATAGTGAATGTTGCATTAAATAGAAATGAATTAATGTTGTGTTCAAAAATGTGTATGATTTAATATTTTTCAGGAAAATTTTCCATGGGTTTTCTTCTTGGGGATATAGGAACTTTTCTGAGGAACATTTTTTTGAGGGAATAATTTTCTAAGGGAAAAATCCAGTAGCGAAGTAGTAAACCGGGTCAAGTCGATTGTCACTTTTGGTGAGTTTTTGATGAATATTTCGGAATCGAAGAGAAATAACGAATTTTTTCTGATGATATTTTTATAACCCTCAATTGGCTCTACAAAAAGGTAATGGTAAAAAATTTCCTATCTTGTTTAGATTTCGAGATATTCGTCCAAAACTGGCCAATAGTCAAAATCGACTTGACCCGGTTTATCGCTTCACTACGGAATTTTCCGGGAAATTTTTCTCCGGGGTATTTTTCACGGTGAAAAACAGACCGGGAACCTTCGGTTTTTGGGTTACCACTGTAGAAAATATAACATTAATGCGGGAAAATTCATTGATGTGGATGTGAAATGTTCACCCATAGTAGATAATATTAATCTCAAGTTCGGTGCACAATTTCAGCCCGATCGATCCAGTAGTTCCCGAGATATTCAACTTTTTGTATAAAACTATTCTGGTTAATATCTCGAAAATTATTTAAACGATTTCATTTCTTTCCCAAAATATTCATCTTGATATCTTCTATTTAGATCAGTCAGCGTATTTATATATCCGTTCATACAAAGTTTTCGAGATATTGTCAATTTTGCAGTTTTTTCCTACATTCGTGAAGTGCGCCATAAATAGACAAAAAATTGAGATAGAAGGTTGAAATTTGGTCGGATTGTAGCTCTTATAGTGACAAAGTATATAATACTTGTTTCAAGAAAGAAACATCTCATTAAAAATATTTTTTTCTATCAGTGTATCTTGTGCGGAGACTGGACTGTACTTGAAAAAAGTTGTATGACCCCCCCTCAAAAAAAAAAAACCTTGAAAACGTCAACAGAATTCTTAAAAAAACTCACCAGCCAAATAAACCCCAGCGGCCCAAACCGCGCACTGTTCATGCAGCCACACCTCCCACCGCTGTTCCTCCCCAGGAATCAGCGTCATCTCCGAGTAGCTCATGGTGGCAGTGGCCTCCACCGAGTTCCTCTTCTTCTTCCCCATTTTCGCTGATAACTGATCGGCCAGCCCAGCATACCTCAGATTCCTCTTATTCTTCCCTCCCTTTTTCTGCTCAGTATTGATCTCCTGCTCATCAGCAGACAGAATTACATTCTCGAGTCGTTCACTGCCAATGAGATACGGCCCGAAGAGATCACTGAGGACCCCCGCAGGCACAACATAACTCCCCGGGGCTATATGGATCTCCACGGGCAACAGCGTGTGGACCGAATTTGCAGAACACAGATCCACGTTGAGTCTGTCGTATGGGCGTCATACCGAGAGGACAATGTAAAACTAAATAATCCAGCTCTATTAACCTGTGATCAAATTTTTATATTGAAATCGGAAATATTAACACGAAGAGAATAATTACAAATGGAAAATTTGAATAAGAATTGGAACTAGAGTAAAAAATGGCAAAATGAAATGAAGGAATAATATCATCGATAAAAATATTCTCCATAATTATGGGCAAACCAGCTTTAAATGAATAATTAAAACTAACTCATTATGGAAAATTTTTGGATTGTGAAATATTTAGTAACACAATCCCGAAAGTCATATTTATAAGCTATTCGATGTTTACAGAATAATCTCAATTCCCATTCCCATTCAACTTCCCATTCATTCACAAATTTTTATATTAAAATCGAAAATATTACCGCGAAGAGAATAGATAGAAACGAAGAATTTGAATGAGAAATCAAGGCAGCAATATTGATAAAATAAATAATAATAATTACCATTAGAGTACAAAATATCAAAACAAAATGAAATAATTGCATAGATGAAAATATTCTTCATAATTATGGGCAAACTCATTTTAAATCAATATTTAAAAATATCCCTCATTATGTAAAGTTTTTTTGATCCCAAAGTATGTAGTAACAAAAAAGTTTCAATCCCAACATTGTTAATTATGGTCTTTGTTATCTAGACCTCCAGCTCCATGTCTTAAACTTCTGTCTTAGAGTCTTTACTCAGCCTCACAGGCTTTTCCAGCTTCCTTTTCCTCCTCTGTTTGGTATTGTCGTTGAAGTCGTCATTGCTGAAGGCCGGTGACACCACGTCCTCCTCTCTCGTTGGGGACCTTGACGATTTATCGAAGCTGCGTTCTGGGAACATGCTCTTGACACTAGATGTGTCCCCATTGTCGTCGATTGGTGTCACAATCACTGACCCAATGTTTTCAGTTCCCAGCTTCTTGTTGCCACCCTCAAGCTTCTCCAGAAGTGAGTCCACCTCCTTCTTCCCCCTCTTGGGGAGATTCTTCGGTGATCTAACGTTCAATTCCTCCACCTTTCGATCCCGTTCAGTCGATGGCTTACGCCTGGGGCCGTCAGTAACATCCTTATCCATTCTCGATATTAAATTAACAATAACTGGCATGACATTGCGTCCCTGTGGTATCGCACTCAACGAATCTTTAACTTTAACTGGCTCTTCTTTCTTCTTTCAAACTGGGAACTGAATTTGTGGGTAATGTTTCTACCTTTTTTTTATATTTTTGTACGGCAAGAAATGAGTAAACGCTTCCGTTTATCGGCGACGTTGAATATTTGCTTCGATTAGTGGGCCAGGCACGTTACATCCGGGACATGTAATTGGTCGATTGTATGGCCTGGGCCCGGTACGCAGTCGTACTGCACAATTGCTGTAGCAAATCAACTGGTGACAGACCGAGCCCATGATAGATATGAAGGTGCCTGACTCACAAATCGTGCACCTCCATTCGTATGGGTCACCGTCTTCACCTCTTGGTTCATCATCCTCGCGTTGAGGTATAAAAACTCTGCCGAAACTGATTGCCCTTTGGTGGCATGTGGGGCAGACCAGTCCTCGTCGAGGGATTCGTTCAGCTCGAGCCTCATCAGCACATTGACGACAGATCTTCAGACAGTGACAGGGTTTTACAATTGTTTCAATGGGACGTGTTCTGCATATTTCACAACGCCAATCATACGGATTGACGTGTACTTCTTCCTGGATCTCTTCAACTTCATTCCGCATAGCATGCTCTGCCACCTCCACTGGAAGTACTCTTCGCTCTCCTGCCCGACGGGCCAAGAAATGATCCAGATTGATCTGTCTTATCAGTGCTTGAGGGTCGTGGGGAACACGAGACTGGAGAAAATATCCAGGGTCTCCTGTTGAATAATAGTATATTTCGATACGATTGCGGGAAAGTGTTTTTGGGATCGTGCTCATGGGAGGTTTATAGCACGAGCCGAAGGCGAGTGATATAATCCCACGAGTCTAAAAACACTTTCCCGCGAGTATCGAACCCTATTTTTCATCACGTGTGGGAAGTGGGGGTT